CTTACATACATGCAGGCAATACACTCATACACATAAAATAAAAATAATGAACTTTAAAAATATATACTAAAGTTACAAATAACAGTTTTTTTTCCCATCATCAGAGTCTTCTTAACTCTTCCATGATTCTTCTGGAAGGTTTTGTTTTACATTCAAGGCCAAATCCACTTATTTCCTCAAATTATTTCTTCAAAACTACTGAATGAAACAGAATTAAACTTTGAAACTTAATATTCTATACATACTTGCTAAGAAAATATAAGAGATATAAAGATTTATCCAGAAAATATTTTTATGATTTTTGTAACAATGAAAAGTTAGAAAACTTTCAATGTCCAAATAGAGGAAAATGGCTCAATAAAGCTGATAAATGAGCCAAGTGTACCCGCACTTGAGAGGCAGAGGAAGGAAGGTGACATGTTTCAGACAATATAGTGAGTGCAAGGCCAGCGGTAAGTCTCCTCAAAACTGAGGCTACTGCTCAGTAGAGGAGCACTTCCCTAGCACATGTAAGGCCGTGGGTTCGATTCCCAGCACCCACAAAACAAAACAAGGATGGCAAATGCATTTCATAGAATCAACATTAACATATGTGTTTCATCTGAACAGTGAGATGGCTCACCAGGTAAAAGTACCTGCCACCAAGCCAGATGACCCAAGTTTGATCCCTGGGACCCATGTGCTAGGGAAAACTAATTCCTGCAAGTCAACCTCTTATCTCCACACAAATGCCACAGCACCCCCCAAATAAATAAAATTATAATGAATGTATATTTAAAAAGAAAAGGTATGTTTTGTCACCACACAGAAAAATGAACATATTTAGTTAAGAAAGGACACTAAACTGTATAGAATTAATCCCAATTTAAAAATTTCAAACTATGATTATACACACAGGAAAAACTATTTTAAAACCAGTTCAAATTCTCTATATCTGGATTAAAGGATTAGAGATGCTTTTATTCCCTCCTCTAAAGTTTTATTTGCCAAAGTTTCAACAATAAAAATACTTCATATTTAAGTAACACAGACTTAGAAAAAAAATCGACATATGTTCTCCCTCATATGTGGATCCTAGAACCCTGATAAGTATGTGTCCAGACATAAAACTACAGGAACCAGGATAATGGAAAGGAAACAGGGAAGTAAAGGAAAAGAAAGAACTTGAAAGAGAAGAACAGTAGGAAACAGGCCTTAATAAGGGAGATATGGATAAAAATTGGGTTAGTTTAAGGGAGGGGGGAGGGAAGGGTATTCAAGGAACCTAGGGGATAAAGGGAAAGAAGGAGCTCAAGAGAGGTAGGACCATAGGAGAAGGGTATTATTAAGGGGGAAAAGGGGGAAATGGGGGCTCCTTAACTGGGAAAACTATGGTGGAGGGGAGAGAAAATACGAGAGATAAATAATGCCTAGGTAGTTTTAAAAGCCAGAGGGAACCATATTACTCCAACAACCTGACAAATTATACATAGCAGATCAAGAAATATATGTCTAGACAAGGTTTATCTGAGAACAATTGGTCTTTGCCCAAGATTTATCTACATGGCACAAAGTAGTTAAAAGTACCAGACTGGTGAACTAACCTTCTTGGATGTTTAACAGACATACTTTGAGGCCTATAATAATTTGGTCAGAGGGACATAAAGGACACTTTTGCTCCCTGCCCTCCTAGGTCGACTAGTTCTAGGGGACTATGAGCATCTCTCAAAATGTCCTATAATGGTGGTGGGTCACTTGTCCTCTTTATCAAGGAGGCCGAGGACACCCCACCAGATGGACTTGAACCAGTGTCCCGTCTACAAAGAGGAGGGTCAACACAGAGGAAACAGTTCCTCCATGATTCCAAGTGAAGCCAACCATGGTCGAGCAGGACCTTTGACTTACCTTCATATAGGAGGAACTGGTAAAAGAAAGGAGCCAGGGGCTTCTCCCAAGCCCATGTGACCCCTGAGGAACAGATCCTCAAACGACCTTAAGAGTAAAAATAAATTGGTTTATCTAGGCCAACTGTACAGCCTTAAACACCCAAAAGGAAAGTATAGCCAAAGATTAAAGGGGCCGGTATAATTTTTTAAGAGTCTGTATGCATAGCCCAATGCTACATAATATGCAACAATGCCAGATAGGAGATACCTTCTTTTGAGTTGTTGGCCAACAACTATCTATAGGAATATTGACAACTGATTACCGCTAGATGAGGAACAGCTGACCCTCCTAAAACAAAGACCTCTAGATAGGCTGACTAGATTCACCAGATGGACAAGTAGTGGGGAATGGCTGGGGGTGCCAACAACACAGCAGACAGTAGCAGGGATATCAGAGTATAAGGGCTCTAGTCGGGGGAGGGAGGCTATGGGAGGGTGCCATCTGGGAAGTGTGTGAATAAGATGGTTTGGGATGTTTTGTGTGATACACATACACATAAAAATCAACAAATTTTTAAAAATGCATTATATTTGAGGAGGAAGTGTGGAAGTTTATGTCATGTTAATTAGTAGAGGTGATATACATTACCATTGAAATCTACCCAATGACTTTATAGACATACACAGGCACCAAGGATCCAAGTGCAACCGATTATGACTAGTAACAATCAGATACATGCAGATTAGAGATACATGCGCCAACATCTCAGTGTTCATAGCAAAAACAATGAGTCTTTCTGCAGGGAAAAATATTCTAAAATGAAATGGAGATCTTTTTTAAAGGTTAAAAACTCATTCAATTTTATGTCTTACAGGGCTTATATTCCGTTCAATATTGTATAACTGTATTAATTCAACTGTGAACCTAGAAACTTGC